CTGATGCTCCTGCCCGCCAGCGGCGGCGGTGCCGGACGCCACGCCGCCGCCGACCAAATCCTGCACCGTCTCCCCCGTCTGCCTCGCGGCTCCCAGACGCCCCCACGCGGTCTCCCCCGCTGGGTCGCCGTTGCGGAGGGATGTCCGAATGTCTCCGGAGAAGTGTCCGGATGGTGGTGCTGGTGGGGGCGGTGGGGCTGATAGCGGCTGCTGCTGGGCCCTGCCCATGCAAACTAGGAAGCGGTGTTTGAGGGTTCGTAGGCATGAGCGGGCGTCCTTGCTGAGTCGCGTGCCGTCCAGGATCTGCATCAGGAAGCCCGCGGATTGAAGCTCCGAAGCCAGGGCCTCAATCTCGCCGGGTGGAGGACCCCCGGGAGCAACGCCGGTGGAGGTGGAGGTGGAGCCGGAAGAGGGTTGCTGTTGTTGTTGATGATGTGCCGGCGGCTGCTTGGAGATGCGCGCGGTTCTGAAAACCCGGAGGCGCTTGGCAAGCTGCAGCGGACAGGCAGGAAGGACAGACAGACGGACTGACGGATGGGGAGCTGCTGCGACGTCCATCAATGGCGTTTACCAAGTGGGTCGTGGACGGGCAAATGTGCAAGTGGGTGAAGCAGTTGGGCACATCGCTGCACCGGTCAAACGATGCTTTGGGGAGCCCGTGTGCATACATACATACATACATACATACATACATACATACATACATACATACATACATAGACAGACAGACAGACAGACAAGTATACATGGCAAGCACGCGTACGCTAGGAAGGGGACCAGCGAGGTCCACAACACCCCCTTAGGAAGGGGGGCACTAAGGGCCAATAGTGGGCCATACCCAGCCACTGTGCGTGGGTGTGGGCATCGCATGTACTGCCCGTACGGTCCCATGCCGTGCTGTACTGCATGCAGCAACCCTTCTCACCTCCATCTCCAACTCGCTTGCGGGTTTGCAGAGCTCCGCTACACGCTCTCCCGCAGGTGGGAGAGCCAGCAGCTCTGAATGACTGACTGCTGATGGATGGGTCGCAGCGGTGGTGCCGCTGCCACTGCCGCCATTGCGCCGCGCCCATGAAACTTGAAGGTCGCTTGCGCTGCGATCCAAGCAACCGCTACCGCCCTTCAACACTGCAGCCCCGGAAGTTGCAATTGCAGCAACAGCCACAGTCGGGAGTGCTCCGGGGTCCTTTTGAGAAACGAGTGATTTGGGTTCTCGGAGCTTTTGAAGTGCCGCCGCCGCCGGCGTGGCCGGGGCCAGCGGGCGCAGGGGAATAGGGGGCCCGGCCGCTGCGCAGCGACGGGAGATGCCGCCATTGGACTGACGGTCCTGTGGAGTCGACGCGCAACTGCCGCCCAGCTCCAAGTCAAACACAGGGCTGAAGGTTGCGACGGTGGTGGTGGGACTTCGCGGGTCCACTATGGACGGCGATGTCGCAACCCTTGCCTGCACAATGGAACCAGCGCACAAGTGTATGGAATGCTTTCTTATGGCAATTCCAGGTTGAAGGTTCCTGCCAGATCTGGCGATTGCGCCATGTGACTTCTCGCGAGCAGCGTCTAGCACATTCGCACAACGCCGTGCAAGCATGGTTGCTGAACGCTTAGGCGAGTTCCTCAGGATTTTGCTAACAATAAGACGTGTCACATTTTGCTGCATTCCATTGACAACAGCATCAGCGAGGAGCCAGAAGCGTAACTTGAGCCCAGGCAAGTCGCGACTGCCAGCGGCTGCTTACCTCGACATCCGGCTGGTACAAATCTAGCTCGCTTGTAGATCCCGATGCAATTTCCACAGCTCGCGCTGGGAGGCTAAGTGCCCTCCGGCTAAGAGTCGCAGCCATGAACGTTGAACCAGGAAGCAGCCACAGACACGCCTTCTGTTTGGCCCAAGGCTTGCGTTGTTCACCAGGTACATACAGGGCGGCTTAGTTGAAGCAAAGCGTCACCATTCTTCTTTACAGTGTGTAAACTCTAAGCTCAGATACGTTGTCGTTGGGTACAATGCATTCTGTGTCATCCTATCATCCTAATCATAAGAAAGGTAATCCCATTATGATATACGGCACCTGGCGTCAGAAAGAAACCGGCGTTCTTCCGTACAAGCACCGTGACAAAGACTCTTGAAATACCGTTAAAACCCAGACAGCCTATGACCAGACCACCAAGTGTTTCTTTCACCTTTACCTCTGATGATCCAGCACTCATAATCGATGGCTTCATAACTGTCCTCGCGCCAGGAAATCTGAAGGAAACGGCCCGCCGCCAACTACCTAAGGCGATACGAACATGGGTGTTTAGTGCAATTGAGCAAAGGTTTTGGGGAAAGCTAAAGAGGAAGACGCATGCACAAACATCTTTGCTCATATGCGCTGCTAAGTTTCGCATGGCAGTCTCCCTCCACCATTCTGGCTCCCTGATCCAATCGTGCGCAGTCCTGAGTTTGAGCGCTCTCATAGACGACAACACAGGGCAACCAGTCTTAGTGCATATAAGAACGCAACAAACTTCTCCATGTAACGATAGATTAGCCAAACATAACAACCGTTGCATATCGACCAGGGCGTCCTCTGTAACCCATATCGAACGGAAGCGAGCAGAAGATATGCCATGGTTATAGCAAACAGTCGTTGATGCCTACACATCAACCCGTTTAACAAACTGATGAAAACATGCCTCCCCATGAGCTGTGATCTCACACTTCGTGACGCAGGGTAATGCGTCCAGCCATGGGCAGATAAAAGGGGAGGGGGGAACCTGAGGACCGTTGCGAACTGGTAGCCCAGTACATATACGTCAGGAGTACGGAGCCAAGCTCGAGGGGCCCTAAATATTAACATGCAGGGTGATGAACAAGTTCTTGGACTCCTTGCTGCTGCTGGCTGCTGCCCCGACCTCCACCTTACCTGTAAATCCTTTAGCTCGGCACCCTCGCATTAATTTTCACCGATACACACGTGCATTACCCTATTATTACTAGGTTAGGGTTACTAGGAAGGGTTACGATCAGCCGCCTCTTGTCTGGAGCCATGTATAGTGTTGTACTGCCGAGTTGCCGTTCACCCTTTTTGCATCTCATTATGCTGCTGCTTCTCTCCCTCCCTCTGTCCGGCCCAGGCCCCTATACAGACGGAATAGGTCGGGCCCGCCGGGCCCGCATAATGGAAAATCGTGCGCAGGGGTTACCACCCCTACCCCCGTTAGCTATCACTCACCACCGCTCTCCCCCCAGTCCCCCGGGGAGGCCCCCACCAGGATCGTTGATGTAACCGCAGTTGCTGGCGCGATCACCAGCCTCCTTTTGAGCAACCACATACACACTAACCTATACACGGAGGCGTGAAGGTAGGTAGCTTGTAGAGCTCTTCCGCGTAGCAGGGGTGTCAAATCAAGTCCCTGCGCAATTCCTTTACCTTAACTGCTCCTCAGGCCACACACAAGTCACCTCATGCACGCGCGGTCGGTGCAGTCGGTCCTTGGGCAAACAAACAGAGGCGACGCATCATCATCATCATCATCATCACCTCTAGCGTTGGTAATGGCGAGGGTAATGGGGAGGGGTCCTGCACGGCATGCCCCCGCCCGCCTGCCGGCGGCAGGTTCTACACATTCTATTCAAGTAACGGTCCTGAGATGGCTGTGGCTCCACGTCCCTTGAAACCCAAGCAACACAGTACGGCAGTACGGCAAATAACAGTAGTAATCGCAGCCCGTAAAAGCCAGTAGTAAGGGGAACAATGTTATGCGAAACAATGCATAAGTGCATGTGCAGTGCAACGTGGCACAGTACTTTGGTGGTTTGATTTCGTGTGTCGATGTGAAGAGGCGTCCTCGTTACGAAGTGGACGAGGAACCGGAAAGGCGAGAGGAGTTGGGCAGTGTCGGCCGCCGCCGTGCGCTGGCCAGGCCGGCCAAGGCATGAAAAAACAAAACAGAGCAACCTCCCCTCCCCCACGAAACACAAGCTCACCCAAACCATGGCCCCCACCACCGTAGGCACAGCCATTAGCACCGGCACCACCACCGGGAGCTCTCTTGACCATGTCTGCAGCCCCCAGGCCATGGACAGCAGCACCCGCTTCTGGCCCTCTCCCCTCTCCCGCGCCACGACCTCCTCCCCTCACCCCCTACAACACCGGGCAGGCCGACCCACATTCCAACCAAGGCCCCCCCCCCCTTAAGCCCGCACAAGCACCTAGTAGACACCTCGCGCCACCCCGGCAATCTCGATTCCAACCCTACCCAGGCCATCATCAACACTTCCCCCTTTTGCGTGGGGAGGGGGGGAGAATCCACCAAGAGAGGGGGCTGCCGATTGAAGGGGACGGGGGGAGGGACATATGCAAGGAGGAGGGGGGGAGAGAGGTGCAAACGGAACCCGGGGCGGCCGAATCCCCACGGGGGAGAGGAAAGTGGTTTGGAAAGGAAGGCGGGAAAGTGGTTTGGAAAGCAGAAAGACCCTTCCCCCCCACACGGCATGCAGTGACTGAAAACGGCGACTCCAAGGCGAGGTCCGGTCAATCCTCGACTGATATTGTTGATAGTGGTGTGGGCGGGGTCGGGGCCGGGCGGGTAGGGAAAGGAAGGGAAACGCACCTCCCTCTCCTCCTCACCTCTCCATAACCAGCGTATGCGTTTGTGTGCCACCTCACCAACACTAACGGATGTCGTCTTCCTTCCGGATTACCCCCCGTTAGGGCGCCCTGGTCGTTACTCTCTATCGGGCCCTTAGACCCGTTCAGCTCTGGTGCTTCCGCCTCCCTCCTCCTCCTCCTCCTCCTCCTCCTCGACTGTCAACGCCCACCAGCAAAAACGAGAAGACAGATGAAAAGAAGAAGAAGTAGTAGAGGAGTTGAGAGCACACCACACACACGCATCCCCTCGCCCAATTACAACCATTACAACCACAACCATGAGCTCACTTCCTCCCCCCCCAGCCTTCCTCCTGTCCTCATCCTTCCTCATGCTGCTGCCGCTGCTGTTGGATACCCCCCCTCCCCGCCTCAATCTGCCTCCAGCCCCAAGCGATGTAGCGCCAGGCCGTTACGCGCCCGCGCGTCCCTTGCCCAGCGGCCCATGCGCGGCTCCTGGCCCACCGCGGCCACGAGGAACCGGCCGCTGCGGGCAATGGCCAGCCCGTTCACGAAGCCCCGCTGCGGCAGTGCGCCGATGCAGGCCAGGCCCCCCGCCCCCCCCGTCTTGCTGGGGTTGACAGACCACAAGCGAATGGCGCCGTCGCCGGCACCGCTGGCCTGGTGGCGGCAGGCAGGGGAACACGGTAAGGGTGGTGTTGGTGTTGGTGGTGTTGGTGGTGATAGTGGCGGTGAGGGAAAGGGCCTCCAGAGGAATTTTCTATCAACATGTAGATCAACATTGTGTGTGTAAGGGGGGTAATAAGAGGTACATGCCGATTTTCAAAAAGCATCGCCGCGGCATACCAGGGTGTTGGAGGGAGGGGGGGAAAGAGAGGAGGAGAGAATTGACAATAACGAAACCCTGGGCGGAGGGAGTGGACAGCGCGCATCCTGCCGTACCCCAACCCCCCTTCTTCCTCTCCGTCCCGAGTCCCCCTGACCCTTAACTCCACAACACTGCACAACCCAGCCAGCACCGATCCGCTCCGGAACCTACCACCAAGTCCGAATTGCGACACACTGCCACTGACGTCACCCAGCCATGCTCCGGAGACAGCGCCGCCGCCGCCGCCGCCGCAGCTGCGGCGCCGTCGGTAGACATCCCATTCGTAGACATGCCGGCTGCGGGTGCCGCGTACACCGTCCCCGCCTCCGTTCCGTGCGCCCCCCTCGCCACAAACACCGGCTTCTTCTTGAGGTGGCTCCAAAGGTGCAGTCCGCCGTCACACCCGCCAGAAACCCACTCAGTGCCCGTCACGAAGCGCACGCAGTCGAGGACGCGGTCGTGGGCTCTGTCCCGTGGGTCAGTGGGAAAGTGGCGGCGCGGCGGGAAGAAGGTTTGGGGGTGAGGGACGAGGAGGGAAAAGGGGAGGGGAGGGAAAGATATCCCCAAATCGGTTCCCCACCAGCACCATACACACACACACAGAAACACACGACTTCGGCGCCACCACTTTTCACAACCTTCCCTTCCCTTCCCACCCCCACCCACCCCACACCTTACACACCGCGTCAACTCCCAACCGCCATTTCCAGCCCATTTCGAACATCACTTGGGACACATCCTTCACATCCACCCAATGAGAGAGGGGGACACGGAGCAAAGTAGCATGCTGCACAATTTCGGTCGTAACACTCGTCCGTCCGTCCGTCCGTCCGTCTCCCTCCGCCCTATCCATCCTACAATATCTAACCGCACATTCCTCCACCCTTTCGCCACCCCTTCCTCCCCACCTCTTCCGCAACCCACCTGAATATGAGCTGGCTCTCCTCGGGCAGCTTCCACAGCCTGCACGTATGGTCGTGGCCCGCCGTGAGGAGCCGCTCCGCCCGCAGGAAGTCCAGAGCCAGGACCTCGGATTGGTGGCCGTACAACGTGTCCATGTAGGCTCTATCATCCAGACTCCACAGCTTCACGGTGCGGTCCGCGGAGCAGCTCGCCAGAGTGTGAGTGCCCTCCCTGGAGCTCAGGTGAGATGTGGGGCGAGGGGTCCGGGGTTTTGGAGCTAGAGAAGAAGCGGGGGGAGGGGGGGAAATATGTGCAGGCTAGGAGGCATACAAGAAGGAAAGATACAACCTTGCCAATGTCCTCCTTTAAAGGGATGCGGGGATCGGCGGGAAGCGGGGGGAGGGGGAAATCAAATGTGTGCTGTGGGAAGCGAAGGAACGTACCCAACGTACGGCACCACAGCAAGCCGAGTGCAAGGAAAGTGGGTTTTCACTGTTGAGGACTTTGAGAGGAGAGGAGAGGAGAGGAGAGGAGAGGAGAGGAGAGGAGAGGAGAGGAGAGGAGAGGAGAGGAGAGGAGAGGAAAGAGGAGGAGACTGGAAGTCACACATCATGGGCGCCTTTCCAGAGCTGTCCTGGGCGCCTGGCGTTCTCAATAACACGTGAACCTGAAACAAGGCTTCTATGTTTCTTACAAGGCAGCTTCACACGATAGCGGGCTCCCCAACACCGTCAACACTCCCATTTCCCAAATCCCAAATTCGCTCCCTCGCACGCACCTGAACGCCAGCCCCGTGACCAGGTCCTTGTGCCCTGGAAAGCCCTGCAGGTAGGTTCCGGAGCTCGCCTCAAACACGTGTACCTTGTGGTCCCCACCCCCCACTGCCAGGTAGCGCCCGTCGCTGCTGACAGCGACCGCCGACAGCGCGGCGCGGCTGGTAGATCGGGCCTTACGAGCCACCCACTCCGCGGGGGTGCTGGTGCTGGTGCTGGGCGGGCCGGCGGCACCGCCGCCGCCGCCGCCGCGGCGGCCGGCGGCGGGACCGTCGCCAGGCCTGATAACATTGGTTCACGTTAGACGTTAATGCGGGTGATGTTTGTGGATGACGTGGATATTGTTATTGTTATTGAGAAATGCCGATGTGCGGGAGCGGGACGACGGGCTTGCGGATGTCGGAGGGTGGGGGGGGAATCGACGGCGAGGTGCATCAGCAGCCACAGCATCAGCAGTGGTTGATATTTTGACTTGCGCGCAAAAATCCTGATTCCCCTATCCCGCCTTAACCTAACCGGTAGCGGTACATGCCGTACACCCAACCCGTTGAAGTATCAGAACTCCGAGGCTGGCTCATCCTCCAACCCCCTCCCGGCCTTACCTGTACAGGTGTGTTCGCTTCATGGTCTCCACATCCCAGCGGCAAATGCTGCCATCCTTCGATACCGTGTAGGCTGTAGCGTCATCAGCGGTGAGTGCTACTGCCGTTGCTGACAGGCGGTGGCCGCGGCTGCAGCATGGCTCGCTGTAGCCGAGGTCCCCGGGAGCCAGCACGCGTACTCGGTGCGCAAGGCGGCGTTGCAGTCGCCCGGCAGCCTGCACGGCGGCAGGGATGGGACCCGCACAGCACGCGGGTGCGTAAGTTCTTAAGCGTGTTGGTAATAATAAGTTGAAGTTCAAAAGTTGGTTTTGGTTGGATGACGGTCGTGCGACCGGCGCTGGCAGAGTTGACAGTAGGAGCGAATATGTTCGTGACGGATGAGACGATGCTGTCCAGCCGCCCCCCCCCATCCCCCCCCCGGGTTTTTACCTGCGCTACATCCTTCTGTAGTCGCTCCGCCAGTCGCTGGGCACGGGCCGCTGCGCCAAGGCTGGCGTCATCGCCGGCGTCGTCATCGTCGTCGTCATCGTCGTCGTCATCGTCGCCGCCAGTCACTCCACGCCGGTCATCCATTTCATCCTCCTCATCCTGAAGCTTTGTAAGGTACTCCTGAGCTGCAATTAGGTCAGCGGTGGTCGATCCGTGAGCATAATAATTCCCATCAATTCATAAGCCGCCGCCGCAACAAGCTTACGCCCATCCACGCAAAATACATATATTGGCCATCGAAGGAGTGTGTGAATCAAATATCCTTCCTTTCATGGTTCTCACCAAGTCGCAGTCGGAGCTGGTCCGCCGTCTCATGCTCTTCTTCATCTTCATCCTCAGGCTGTCCCGTCCTCTTGTTGTCATCGTCATCATTAAGGAAAAAAGCATCACAGTCATCCTTGTCTACAGCTCTCCGTTTTGCCCGTTTTGGTGGGGCCTGAAGGCCACGCTTTGTGGCAGACCGCTTCATACCTCCTTTCATTTTTGTAAGCATAAGGATTTCTTCTGTATGCGTCCACCACCTAAGGTTTCTTGCGCAAATGTTACGAGCTGCGAAAAAGTCGTTGTACCGGGACTGTGCAGTATATTAGTACATAGTGTGACTTTCACCGCTTCCCTTACAGCTGCCTGCAGTCAACGTCGCCGACGTGTATTCATAAATACAAAAACGGTGCTGTATCGGAATTAACATTTGAGCTGGGGTTGGGCTCCTGCCGTCAAAAGATGGCAGGGCGCCTCAAGCCTCGTGGGCAAGGCCCCAAGCAGGCATACAATAACTCCCATTTCGTATGCGTAGCATGTGTCGGCAGTCAATTTTTACTTTCAATCCATGAAAGACGTCGGTAGCTGTCAAGACATGGACTTACTCAAACACGCAAGCAGCAACATGATGCCTCACGTATGTATTCCATCAGGATGCCAGCAATGGGTCTCAAAGGTGAGACGCCGGCCGGAAATTCGACGCCAGAGGCGACATGCATCGATAGTTGCATAGAAACACCGACAGTGCTGCGTACATCCACGCGCAGACCATCGCCGTGGGCATCGACAAGTTCGCTTATATGAGCTCGCTGGCTATATATGTCTATTCCTCGATCACCTACCTACCGCTAGCCATTCTCGCCAAACACGAGGAACGTCTAGCCGCCCTCGCTTTGTCACCTTTTGACTCAAACTTGTTGGCATGTGCTATCGGCAACCAAGTGAGTACCCGCGTAAACAACAACGCCAACCGCTCCACCACGCCAGGGCTGCCGGGAGCTGTACATCCAACGGGCAAACATGTATCTACGTGAACCGCCGCACCTCCCAGCCGCCACCGCATGTCTCCAGCTCTCTCCTGTCGGAAATAGCCAAATGCTCTCACTTCAGCTCACTTACGCTTCCAAGTGTTCACCCGTCCCCTATAGCTCACATGCTCTCGTGCTCTCCGCACCTAATCGACCCTCGTCTCAATCTACCCTGCATTGGCACGTACTTTAAAATGTGACTTGCCTTGTGTTGTTTCCCGTTGCTGGGTGTGGTCATGGGACCGTTACCCGGGCAATGGGTGAAACAATAAAGTTACCGGGGGTTCGCAATGCCGCAGGAGGTCAGGATTTACGATGTGGACACAGAGTTGCCGGTCTGCAGGGCCAAATACACGGTACCGAAGGGAAAGGTCTCCGTCATGGAGTGGTAGGTGAGAGGGTGCGGCCAACACCCGCCCGCCCGCCCGGTCCACAACTGGCATTACTCATCACGCCGCGGCGATGAATGAGAGCGGGCGGGGGTCGGGGGGGAAAGACGAACCACACACGATTGAAGCTGCTGCCAGCTGCTGCTGGGTCGGGGGGGAGGCGCCAGCGGAAAGGGAGAGTCACGCACGAGGGTGGGCGGGCAGGGGAGGGTGTGTTTTTGCATACATGCACGCATGCACGCAGAGGAACACGCATGTATACATACATACGTACATACATACATACATACAATCCAGGGAGCGTTGCATCCGTCCGTCCATCCGTCCATGGGGCCCATCCATCCAGGGTTAAGGGTCATCAGACACATACAGTTTTTTTGTAGTGTTGTTGTTGTTGTTGGTGGTGGTGGTGGTGGTGGTGGTGGTGGGCTAGATGAACGCCATCTCGTGGGGCTAGGCTGGACTAGGCCCTTTGTGTGCCTCTCTCTCGCTCTTGCTCTACCCTCTAACCCGATTGATCGAGGGGATTTTGCACCGACAGAGTGTTTGCCGGTGTTTCCCCGACTGCTTCCACGCTCCCGTTATGCCCGGTGCATGTGTCCCGGGCAGGCACCAGATGCACCGAGGAGTGCTGCTGCTCGCGATCGGGCCCGCTCTGGTGGCGTGGGACTTTGCATCGGCAGCTGATGCGGCGGCAGCGGCGGCGGCAGGCCATGGCGACGGCGGCG